GAACACAATGGAGCAATGTCTTCAAAACTCCTAAGAAAAAGATAGTTCCAACATTAAATTTTACATCCAGCTGAACTATCAGTGTGTGAGGACCAAATAAATTTATGCTATTTAGTACTTCCCATTCAATTTTTCTTAGGAAGGTACTGAATGATGTGCTCAACTGAAATAAGAGTGGAAACCAAGAAATAATTGCATGTGTATTCAGAAAATATGTCTCCAGCACAGAATAAAGGAGAATAGAATTCTCAGAACATGGTCAAGGATGATCCCAAGATGAGATCTGTATTCCAGGTATGGAGGCCAAACAGTCCTGATTAGAGAGATCAAAATGTTGTTGGGAAGATTTCTTTCAGAAGATAAAACTGAAAAAATGCCTGATGCATAATAATTCAAGGAAAAGAGTGACATAATTAACAACTTAGGGTTATTTTAGTGATAGGTAGAAAGAATAAGACAGTTATTCAGGGAAGACAAAATTTTAAGGAAAAGATAACTAAGGAAAAGACCTTTTGAATGACCTGCTAATAGCATTCACATAGTAATAACAATACAAATGTTGAATGTAGGTCTAACAAAAATTTTGATAGGCGTGACTGAAAGATGTGATGAAATGCGATAGAGGGGAATGGTGAAAGAAACCAAATCCTTATCTTTACTATTGCAAAATCAATAGAGAATGTATAACCTTAAAAATTGATATGCTGACGCATGTGTATATTATTTAGAGATACAGAGATATATACAAAAAAATCAGCTAAAAGTGTCAAAATGGTTGATTTTGGAAAGAGAGAAGTCTGGGGCAGACACTGAACCACTCTTTTATTAATAAACTTTATAGAACTTGGTGAGTCTTTAAATTATATGCATCTATAACTGATTAAAGTAAAACTAAAACAAAGGTAATATAGCTTGTGTGGTTTTAAATATTTCACATACATTTACCATGTTGTATATATCACTTTAATTTGCATTCTTACTGTTAGCATTATATTTTCAACTTCTATACATGTAAATAAATATGTATCTCTTTCAATTAGTTATGTAGTTTTACAGAATTCTGATACATGGGTTAATGCACATTTTAATTATCCATTTTTTCCACTGTTGGCAATGTAATGAAGACTCTTGAACATGTTTTGTTAAAATTCATCTAAACTTATATATTTATAAATGGAATCAAAGGGCTATAAGTTAAGAGTAACATTAAGATTAAAATCTTAATCTTAACTAGATATTGTCAACATGTTCTCCATAATGTATGTAAAGTTTTTCAATTGCGAAATACTTCATATTTGGCAAGGGATAAAATATTGTTGTGTCTCCCATCTCCAAAGTGAAGTCGTTCTCTTTTGACAACTGATTTTTCAGTAAACTGTTCATTTACTTTATTGTTAAATTCTGTAGTGATTTTTCTCTAAAGACTTCATGGAGTTCCTTTCTTTTTTTTTCTTTTCCTATGCAACAATAAATGCAGGAGGACAGTGCAGCAAAGTCAATAGAGGTTTAATAAGAAAATGATTATGATTGAAAACTGTGAATCCCCTGCAAAGATACTGTTCGTGTGTGAAGGAAACATTGAGTCCTATATTGCTTCAAAACAGTAATGCTCAAATACATTTTCATCAAAAACTTTTGGAAGAATTTTTCCATATCATCAAGAGCTAAGAAATGACCACGAATATACAACAACTAAAAATCAAAATAAATGTATAAAAATCCTAAAGTCTATGGTAAAGAATAGGTTTTTAATGGATGTAAATAACTATTATAACTCCAAAATAGAATGTTTAAGTCCAAAAAACAATTTATCTTGAAAGATAAATTTTGTCTTTTTCTTGAAATGTAAATTTATTGTTTTAAATATGGAGCATGTGACCTCAAGATAAATTAAATGTGAACTGGGAAAAATGTTAGGGAAATAATGTAGGAAAATGAATAAAAGAGTCTAAAAATAAACTTTTATTTAATATAAATAAAACTTATTTTTTAAAAATAAATGTCAAAATCTTTAAGTAGGTGAATTGAAATTAGCATCTTAATTTTTAAACCTGAAGAAAGAAGTCAGTAAAACAAAAAATGGAACAAAAAGTAACTCCCGGGCGCCTGGGTGGCTCAGATGGTTAAGCGTCTGCCTTCGGCTCAGGTCATGATCCCAGGGTCCTGGGATCGAGTCCTGCATCGGGTTCCCTGCTCCTAGGGAGCCTGCTTCTCCCTCTGCCTCTCTCTCTCTCTCTCTGTCTGTCTCTCATGAATAAATAAATAAAATCTTTAAAAAAAAAAAGTAACTCCCAAAATGCATAAAATAAAAAGCATAAAATAAAACTATGGGCCAAATATAATGTTATGAAAGTAACTATGAGCAGTTTAAATTTCTTGATTAAAAGTTAAGATACTCAAACTGAGTAACAGGGGAAGCTGTTTAGTATTGTTAATTCATGGATGATTTCTCATAGAAAATGTCCTTTCAAACAAAACCTGAGGGATAAGAAAGTTTTAAAATGATTTAGATAATTTTGAAATGTGGAAATACAAGAGGAAATGGGAAAATATGAGAAGATGTTTGCAATGGGATGGAATCCAATATCTTTTTGACTTCTCTGCCTGTGGAATTCCTTCTCATTCTATAATGATCTTCTCAAATACCACTTCTTTTTCAAGTATTTGCCAATAGGCCAAAATCTTAAAGAATAAATGATTCTCTCCCCTGACATTTTGGTATTATTATTGCTGGTGAATACTAATGACTCTTTTCTGTATTACTTAAGGTCTTTAGTAGCAGAAAACATGTACTAATAATTTTTGCTGCCAATGTCTAGAATAATATGAGATATAATAATGTGTGTATAATCAAGCCATGTTTATGAGATGAGTTAAATTGACTTTTTTAAATGTTCCAAGCCTCCTTTTTCATAGGTAAGAACTTTACACAAATTATCATACTTTGAAATTTTGTGAAAGCTACTCTATATTAAAATTATGTCTAATCCATACATCCTTAAATATGTTAAAGAATTTTTTCTAATTCCAAATTCATGGTATATTTACTTGCAAAATGTTCAAAATAAAATGCTGATTTTTTTAAAAGATTTATCTATTTATTTGAGAGAGAGAGAAAAAAAGAGAGAACGTATGAGTGGGGGAAGGGATGGGGGAGACAATCTTCAAGCAGACTCCCCGCTGAGTGTGGAGCCTGCCCCAGAACTCGATTTCATGACCCATGATATGATCATGACCTGAGCCAAAACCAACATCAGATGCTTAATCAACTGAGCCATCCAGACACCCCTAAAATGCTGAATTTTAAGCATCTTTGCATTTAGAAGACATACAGATTTTCAGTTTGGTGACACAAAATATATTTATATAATATAGATTTTATAAATAAATGCACAATGCATTTTTTCCTATTCCTTAATTTTTCCTGTCTTCTTACTACAGTCTTTAATGGGTTATGTTTTGGATGAGTAGCAAACCCAGGAAAGGCACAATTTGAGGCAAACTGCTTTAAAGCTCTTTAGCATTACCCTAAGGAAGTCACAAAAGTCACTATGATATCAACTATTAAATCTAGATTAGTACTTGGCTGTGGGTTTATGTTGGGCTATTTTTTTTAAGTGGAATATGTTTTTCCTCCTTGCTTAATGAAAATTTTTGATGGTATTCTGAGAATCTTTTTTAAATAGAAGCTTAATTTGAAAAGAAAAAAAGCTTGTTTTAGTTATGAGTAACTGATATCAGTATCATTATTTTGTTTTATTTAAGTAAAAACAGTTAAATTTTAGTTAATAACATATTTTGGAAAGATAAGCATTAAATTCTAATGAAACCATGTACATGTGTATAATTACTACTCGAATTTGCACACAACTACTGGTAAAATTGCTGTAATTGTGTTTGTACTTGTGACTAAAAAAGCTCAATGCTTAATAAAGAGCCATTTTCACAATTTTAAACATTTTTTCCTATAGTCATTTCTAGAACTTATTTTTCATTGTTTTTAAGTCAGTTTCAGCCTCAATCATATAGTCCAGTCTGTTCACATGTCCTAGCTTGAGAATTGCTAATTTATATAGACAAATCATTTATTCATTCTGGTTCTTTTCCAGGTGGTTTTGTGTTCTAAGTTGTGTGAATTTTGCTTTGAGTTGTTTAACACATTCTTTGTATTCTTTCTGTCTGGATTGTAATTCTTACATCTTAAATAAGGAACTAGATGTTACCCATTGATTATATTAAAGCACAGGGTATTTCATGTCATGCATCTTCTAGAAATTAAGTATCTATAATTTGGTCAGCAGTGAAATAAAAATATTATTTGTTCCATGTTTGTTAACCTGAAGCATATGCATTAATGGTAATATCACCACTAAATTGAACAACTGCCCAGAGCTATAGGACACAGACACACAAAAAAATCTTATATGCAAACTCTGTATCTGTGAAGGAATTGATGATTATAGCTATGCCCAACTTGTAAAATTGGCAAAGAGACCGATTTTTTTTTTTCTTCAGAGACCTCTGCTTCTCTGTGGTAGGAATGCCAGCTTCCAACAAAGCAGTGTTCAGGTCATGACTCAAATATTCTGGAAGTTCCTTTGGAATTTATATTGAGTAAGAATGTTGCTGGGAAATGACTCACTTTACAAGAAAATTGTGTCTAATTATATATCTTTTTCCAATCTCTATATGCTATTATTCCAAAAAAAATCATTGTCTTTAATTATTTACATATAAATTATGTGAAAACCATAATATCATTGACACTATTTACACAGGTAGAATAGCATAATTATGTTGTGATAAACATCATTGGAAATAGACTGTCCCCAAACCTCGTTGCTTCTTCTATATTTGCCATTTAGTGCAAAATATTGAGAAGAAATAAAGCTGATGAAATTTCTAGACAGGTAGCTACTAAGCTATTGTTCTTTTTATCATATAAAAAAGTTAAGCTTAGTGCTTTCTCTAGACCAGTGGCCCATCCAATTTTTCTATTTTTTAATATGAAATGCTTCATAAATTTGTGTGTCATCCTTGTGCAGGGGCCACGCTAATCTCTGTATTGTTCCAATTTTAGTATATGTGCTGTGAAGGTGAGCAGGGACCCCCCCCAATTTTTGATACCACATCCCATCATTAAAACATTTTTGGACAAATATTCCAAAATACATTTATTTATTTGTAAATTATGTACACATACTTCTCACCTAATGCAAGTATGTACATTATAAGCCACAACAACATACAGAGGTGTGAAAAATGATAAAATGTTTTTTAATGATTTCATTAAGTACATGTATATTCACATCGTCTTTTCATGATTTAGAAATTTTTTGGTGTCCTCTTGTCATGTCCGTTTAAACCATCATAGTTTTTGTGTTGCAGTGTGCTCTACCAGAAGATTGAAATTGATTTCTGCCATTTTCTGATGTTTGCTCATGTTTGGATTATTAATCATATATTATCTTCAATACAGGTTTATTTGGCAGCAATTTTTTGTAGTCCACTTGTCCATTTTGTGAGTATTGTACTAATTAAAACTACAAAACTTATAGTGTGTAAGTCCATTCAACTGTGCACATGCAAACTTCATTAAGTCAGAAAACGCTGGGGCAAATATAAGATTAAATGTGACACTGTCAATTATTCTAGGATGGGGAACTTCTACTCTGTACACAGGACATATCGCATGCCATCGGTGACATGTGACCCCCCCCCCAAAAAAAAGGGACTAAGGAAGGAAACAGTGTCAGTCTGCAGATTCAAATTCTCCAAGGGATTGTCTCCAGTTTGCACGCCACCTCCTTAGACCAGTGGTCTTCCAACTGGGATATACATAGCCTGGGGTTCTAAGAGACAAGCACAGATGGCTTTAAGAAAATGAATTTCCTGATCACCACTTCCATATGGATTCTCTCCTAAGACTGATAAGGTTCCTGAGTGAAGCAGTTTCTTTCCTACGTCTCCTCTCTTTAATACATTTATCAACCCTTTATACTAAAAAAGGATACTTCTTACCCATGTTAAGGCTAAGTATGATATGTTGTTCCAGGATGTAAAATACTCCAGTGTTGCCCTCATTCTCTTTTATTCTCTCTCTCTCTCTCTCTCCCTCTCTCTCTTTCTCTCTTCCTCTTTACCTCCCTCCCTCTCTCTCTCTCGCTCTCTCTCCAGTATATATATATTATATATATGTATATATATATATATATGTATATACAGAGGATAAACTAGGTTTTGGTGTTAAAGTTGAGAAAATGAATGACTCTAATGATTAGAAGACAAATGGATTTTCAGGTGGTTTCCAATTCATACTTTTTAACAGAGTTGAAGGATAACCAAACTTAGTTATCAAATGACAGATGATGAAATTTTTTAATGGGAAATCAGCATGAGATTTTTGCACAAAACTCAGAAGAGGTTCAAAGAATTTAGTTATGGGCTTATAACAAGTCTGTTCAAATCTATTTACTTATATGAACATAGTTTCTTCATGCTTAGACCTATTTTTTAAATAAAAGAATGGAATGAATGTTCAACTCCACATTACTCACACAATAAGTAATATTCATCCATGGATACATGACAGAATATCTTTGATCAATTGTTCATTACATTTACATATAATAGTAAAGGTACATCAATGTAAAATAATTTTTAATATTTACTGTCTTATGTTTATAGGAAATTTTAAAAATAATTTAAAATTTAAATATATATATTTTATTGTAGAGAAATAATAAAAGGCTTTCAACAGACTTAAATGTGTTGTATATATTTGAATAAAATTCGATGAAGGAATTGGGATTGGATATGATCTAAAGAAGTAAAACCCATGCAATATCACACTTATTTTTGTATTTCTTTTAAATTAGCAATGTTTTGTATCCAATCATTATGATATTTAGATCTCACTGGGTAGAATTTAAAAAATTGACATAACCTGTCCACTTTTAAATTCCAATATTTAATAACATAAAACTTCAAAATGCTTAGCTATTTTAAACTGTTACTGTTAACTCGTCAACCTAGAACCTTTCTTAAAAACACTTGTTTTATTCTAAATTCTTATGGGGGATATATGAGGGAAAACCCTTTTAAAAAAACACTGCTTCCCACAAGAACTATCATTATAGCATCTGCTTATATCCGAAGTTAATATTTTTGAATGATAAGATATAGTCAGATTTTAGCCTCTAGATAATAGCAGGAGAGAGAAGGTGAGAGAATAAATATGAGAGAATGATAGGAGGATTTTATTTTATTTTTTTTTAATTTTATTTATTTATTTGAGAGACAGAGAGAATGAGAGAGAAAGCACATGAGATGGGGGGAGGGTCAGAGGGAGAAGCAGACTCCCTGGTGAGCAGGGAGCCCGATGCGGGACTCGATCCCGGGACTCCGGGATCATGACCTGAGCCGAAGGCAGTCGCTTAACCAACTGAGCCACCCAGGCGCCCTGATAGGAGGATTTTAGATCTGATGTAAAGCCAATAGTTATTTCACCCATATAGGTTAAATTAATGCTACACCTGAATTCAATCAACAATAATTCTGTATCATGTCTCCTTGATCAAGAGAATTGCTACCTAGTGAACTTTTAAAATGTAATTGTTTTATTATAATTACTACTATCACTACCACAACCATTATTACTACGAGATGTTTAAAGCATAGGGATATTGATCAACTTTTCATGGGTCGTTATAAGCCACAGCACACAGGTGAGATCTGTAAGGCCATATGTGATTTTAACAACCATTCTGGCTAAGTTGACAACTATTACATCATCTTTAAAGAATATTATTTTATGTTTTAAAGTTTTTCTTTCATTGATGCTTCCAAATAATTCCAGATACCGAGCTGCTGTTTTTATATCTCTGCCTTAAATTAAGAGGAAAACCTCATTTTAAGCTCTCCTTGTTTCTAATTGGTAAGAAAAAATAGTTTTTCAATAAATAAAAATCACACAGATGCATACACATATTGCATTTTAGAATGAGGACATAATGAACCAGCATTATTCACTTAGGGAACATGGGAAAAAAATAAATGATTAAAAATAATCCTATTATTGAAATGCCACAGTCCACACTGATGTACTCTAAGAGAGGGTAGAAAACCAGAAAATATGAAATTCAACTTTACAAGTAATATTTTAATAAAAGACAGAACATTTTGTTATGAAGAGTTGGTCCTAATGCTTTTTTTTTTAAGATTTTATTTATTTACTTGACAGAGAGACACAGCGAGAGAAGGAACACAGGCAAGGGAGAGGGAGCAGCAGAGGGAGAGGGAGAAGCAGAGGGAGAGGGAGAATGCTCCCCATTGAGCAGGGAGCCCAAGGGGGGCTTGATCCCAGGACCCTGGGATCATGACCTGAGCAGAAGGCAGACGCTTAACGACTGAGCCACCCAGGTGCCCCTGGCCCTAATGATATTTATAGAAAAGCTTTTTGATGATAATTTTTCATATTTATTTTAATAGGAATATTATGAGTATTAAAATAAGAGCGATAGCATCTATGATATTGGATGGTTTTTTGTGCTATTTATTTTACATATGCTATTATTCTTTCTAATATGTATATTCTTTTTGACTACATTTCTTTTGTGCTATTTACTTACATCTAATGTCTGTGAAAATCTGACTTATTTTCTCCATTTTGTTTTCCTTCCTGATTATACAACTGGACTGTATTTTTCAGGTTCCTTTTCAGTGATGTATGGCCACTTGACTTAGGTTCAGCTTATTGAATATGAAGCAATCTGTTCCCCTTCCCAGAATAAACGCCCTTGAACCCCAGGCTATGTTCTTTCCATCAGCTGTCTGAAAGGAGAGGAATTCAAGGACTTAATAGGTTAGTGAAGCCACCATGTGGCAGGACCGTGGGGGTCTGGATGGCCGTGTAGAGTGGCACCCCATGAGGGTCTGCCTTCTCTGTGATTTTAACAAGAAATAAACTATTTGTGCAAACCTAGTGAGATTTAGTGGTTCATTTCTTAAATCAGTTAGCCTACTTGGGCTAATAAATCATCTGTGGGTCTCTTTGACCTCAGAGGCTCATCCTTTCAAACCATCCTTCTTATTATTGCCAAATAATTTTTATATCAAAGAGCTGTTTTATGGCTGCTTGTTTCTAAACTGTCGCTTTGGCTCATCATCCATTGCAGTTCCCATTATGACCCTAATTTTCTCAATATTTTAATGTTTATTTTACTCAATTCCTTTTCCACGTTTCCCTCATCATGGAGGCCCTGCCTTCTCCTCTTTCTCTACACAAATCTCAACTTCCTTCCAGATCCTGGTAAAGTTCTTCGTTCTGTCTTTTCTGATTATTGCCATCTCCCTTCCCATTTTAGGTCCTCCTCCACAACCCTCTGGTCCTTCCTTCTATAATACTGCTCTTCACTCACTTTGTCCTCCTTGCTCTTTTTCCCATATACAGAGTTTATTTCTTCAACTGCGCCTGCATTTATTTGTCCATTTTCCTGAAACTCTCTTACCCTAAAAACTTTCACAGTTTTAACCCTTCTTGCATGCATATCTTTTATTATGTGACCTCTCTCAGAAAGGATTTCCCTGATTGGCCTGTTTAAAATAGTTCTTCCAGGGGCGCCTGGGTGGCTCAGTTGATTGTGTGACCAGCTCTTGGTTTTGGCCCAGGTCATGATCTCATGGGTGGTGGGATTGAGCCCCACATCAACTCCACGCTCAGCAGGGAGTCTGCTTGAGATTCTCTCCCTCTGCCCCTCCCACCACTCGCTCCCAAGCTCTTTCTGTCTTTCTAAAATAAATAAAGAAATCTTTAAAACAGAATAAAATAGAATAGTTCTCCCCAAAGGCGGTCACTCTGCATCCCCTTATTTTGCTTTATTTTTTCCAGTGTTCATAATCTTATCTGATATTTGGTATACCTGTTTATTTGTTCATTTTCTATTCCCTCCCCTAGAATATAGCTTGCCCAGAGCAGAGGACTGGTCTATTCTGTGCTATATATCCAGTACCCAGAACAGTGCCTGCTATATAATTGGGGCTCAGTAAACATCTGTTCAATAAAGAGTTGAATAAATCAATAAAACTATCCTTCTGAAATACTAT